TTTTTAAAAAGTTGAAGCCTGACTCTTCGATATGGCTCACAAGGCCTCCATGATCTGACACCTGCCCTGCCCACCTCCCTCCCTTCCTGTTGATGTCATCTCTTACTTCCTCCCTCCAATTTGCCCATCCCTTCAAAGCCACTTTGTATTCCTTGCTATTCCTCAAACATGCCAAGCACACTTTGCATTTGCTGTTTCCTCTGCATAAATGACCACTCCCCTCTACTGGATATTTTCATATATTTCTCCCTCACTTCTTGTATTTCTGATCAAAAGTCAATTTTCCTTAAAATTGCATCTGTTCCTGGATTTTAGTTTTCTCCATAGCCCCTGCATAATTAGCTATTGCCACAATATAGTAAAAACCGATCTCCAAACTAAGTGGCTTCAAAATTTTATTCTCGTGGATCTGTGGGTCAGCTGGGTAGCTCTGCTGCAAATTGTGTTGGCTAGAGCAGCTCTGCTTCTCACTGTAGATCTGTGGGTTAACTGGGACAGCCCTGCTTCACGTGTGTTTTTTCTGTGATGTAGGACAATGTCAATGGCAAAGCACAAAAAGGAAAACAGGAACACACAAAGCCTCTTAAACTTAAAGTCACACACTGACACTTCTGTCCCAGTCTGGCCAAAAGTCAAGGGATAGGAAAGTATATTTCTTCTTTTTTGGTGGGAGGAACTACAAAGTAATGTGAGAAAGGATATATAGAGAGGAAGGGGTGAAGAATTGGGGCCAATGATATTAATACAATCTACCACATCATGCGACATCATCTGATTGCCCATGTATTTAGTTGTTTATTTGCGATATCTTCTCATTAGATACTCCATGAGAATAGGAAATTTGCTTCATTCACTACTTCATTCCCAGTTATTAGAACTGAGCCTGAACATAGTAGGCACTTGATTAAATACATTAAATGGGTAAATTTGCCATTCAGGCACAGTCATTCCATATAACTACTATATGCCAAGAGCTATGCTAGGTGCTAAAGATACAATGGTGAATGTCCTCCAGACAATAGTCTAACAATCTAGTGAGGACACAGATGAACAGACAGGCAATTATAAACAATGGTAAATAATAATAATAAAATAGCTAACAATTATTGAGCACCTACTACATACCAGGCATCGTTCTAAGAGGTACAGATGAATTAACTCACTGAATAGGCTCATCCTTATGAGGTAGATACTATTATCATCCTGCTTTTATAGAGGAGAAAACTGAAGCACACAGAAGTTCCATAAATCATCCAAAGTCACACAAGTAGTAATGTTGGCACCAAAATTCAAGTGCAGGTGGTCTAGTTCCAGAACCAATATGCTACATTGCCTCAATTAGAGAAGTGCTATGTCAGAGAATGCAGGGTGCTGTGGAAGCAAAGAGGCTGACAATTAGGCCGGGAAGGGCAGGGTCAGGAAAGGCTAGCCTGAGAAAGGAGTGGTTTGTCTGTCTTCTCCCAAAAATGTTTAAGTTTCTTATCATCAGAAACAACCTTATTTCATCAAATCTATAATCAACAGTAAGGTGCACCTCAGTTCAGATATAAAAAATGTAAAAAAAAAAAAAATGGCCAATGACAACTGTATGATGCCACTGATTGAAAAATGTGTACAAATTAAAAAAATGACAAAAAGTGTGCAGCCTGTATGAACACTTGCTCTTTATACCACACTTGCATGCACACACACATGCATATATATGCTAACATATATGCTAATACGGTCTTATCTTTTTTAGATTTGGTTTAATATTCAACAATATGATTCTCCACTAAGGATAAATTTTGATGTTACCAAGCCCAAGCTGTGGAAATCTTTCTTTTCAAGAAGCCTTCCATATCCTGGCCTTTCCAGTATTCAGGTATGATTCTCTTATTAACAAGTAAATGCAGACAAAGAATGTGAAGGATATAAAATCATTATATAGGGTTGTCATTTTTTTGGCTCTTAATTCTACTCCTAGGTATTTAGAACAGTGTTTGTTTTTCAAACATATTTGAGCCCAACCAACAATAAGAAATACATATGTGTTTATATACATGTGAAAGAAAAAGTTTTGATATAAGTCCCAAGACATAAAAAGTACAAAATATATTCTATTTAATTTTGTTGAATGCTTGTCTCAATTCACTAAATTTATTTCATGACTGCTAATGAAACATGAAATCAAACTACAAGGTATGATCCATTAGGGGCTGATAAAATTAACTTAGAGGGCCCTTACCAGTAGTAGATTGTAGGTAATAAGCATGAACATTGTTTACTAAAGCTTTTGTTTCATTTGATAGATAAATATGTATGTGTGTACTGGGTTTGTAATATAAAAAGTATCTTATACTCTGAATCAAACCTTTCAGAAAAAGCTTGGAACATTGCCTTAGAGGAATCCTCCCATATGTGCACAAGGCGACATACACAAAATGTTTCATAGGGACATTGTTTGAAACAGCACAAGAATTGAAATGACATAAGAGATAAATTATGGTACCTAATGGAATGTTTTATAGTAGTTAAATGAACATTAATGAATCTTAGTAAGCACTCTAAAACTACATGTTTGCTGTTATCACTAAATATGTTGAGAGAAAGAGCCAGCTACATGTTCATAAAACTGTAAAGTTTAGAAGACATGCAAAACAATACATTATTTGGGGCACATATATCTGTAGTAAAATCATAAACACATAGTAGTAATTTGTCTATCTTCACTTACTATAACGTAAGCACCATGAAGACAGGAATTTTTATTCAAGGCCAAATCTCCTACCCTCCTCACCTCTGAAAGTGCCTGGCACACAGTAGGTACTCAATTATTTGTTGAACAGAGTGCTAAAAATCAAGTTCAGGTCATGGTTATTTCCATGGTGAGAGAAGGGAAATGAAAGCAAGAAAGAACTATATGCACTGTAATTTATTTGTGATGTTTTACTTACTGTGGGGGTCATGGGTACACTGAAATCCATTATATTATTCTCTACCTTATTGAATGTCATTATTTAAAAAAAAAAGATTTTAAAAAGGATGTATAGCTATTCAAATTAATGTAGGTGGTTTCTAGAATTTCTGAACTATTTTCTCTTTCGTAGCCTGAAGAGCTAATTTACCAGAACACAGACAAAGTAGCTGCAGCTGAGCTACAAGACAGGTAATATCATATCCATAAATCCACAAGTTATCTGTCACTGGGAGCGTAACACCAAACTCTGAATGACTCTCATTCTAGATCAATGTGAAATAATTTAGGCAATTAAACTTCATTTCATGTTTATAGATTCCAAGTACAGATGAAATCTGAATCCCATGGTGCAAAAGGAGGCTTTAGCATCAACACACTGTGGGACAAACAGACAGTGAACACCAATGATATGCAGTTCTCCAAAGACCTTTCCTCAGATTAGAGTTTAACATCAAGTCATTATGGGTCTTGTTGAGATGCATAATCTTCAGCTTAAATATGCTTCTTTTGTCCAATCAGTGGCTTACAGAACTGCAGCTATAATAGTTTATGAACCTAACACACAGAGGCTAGTAAGAGCCTATCTGAGTCCCTATAATTCTAATAACCCTATAAAATAGAATTTATTCTCTTGGTTTCACAAAAGTGGAAACTGAGACTCAGAAAGTCCACATACTTGTTTACTGTTAAAGGGGGCTTCTGAACCCAGCCTGATCTTTCTAATTTTGAGGCCTATGTGCTCTTTGTACTATATCGAACTGTGTGAAGAACAGCATGTCAAATTACAATAGATTAAATGTGACCCCTTTTAAGACATTATTAGTAGAAAACACCAATTTACTCTCAATTTCTCCATAAAGCCTCATTTGGGATTCCCACATGGAACTGATCTCCAAACAACCTTTTTGTTTCTTCCAATAGCTTCAGTGTACTATTTATTAAACTCAAGTCATTTAGTCCTCCAATAGTAAAGTACTTAGCAATTCATCCATACTTTCTTGCTCAGACCATCTTGAAACTCAAAACAAAGATATGTGTTCAGTGCCAAAAAAGAAGTGGGTCTTTGCTGGCTGGGTCTCTAAATCTGTGAATTTGGTCAGGAGATGGATAAGAGGCTTTAGAATCAGCAGTCAAGGCTCCTCTGCCTTAGTCAAGTCACTTATCCTACCACAAACTGTCCCCCCATCTGTAAAATCAGGGAAATAACCCTACCTTATAGGGTTATTGTTGAAATTAAATAAAAATATATTGCATTTAGCACAATATCTGGTAAATAATGGCTCAATAAATGGTGGCTATTTTCCTTCATTCTATGTTTAAGCTTCACATCCTATGAACCCAATACCTATAACCTATCAAAAATTAAGTTACAATGAAACTTGGTGTTTTAAAGACAGTTTTAACGCAATTTAGAAAAAATTCTATTATCATGAACAGAAGCTCTCACTGTCAAAAAAATGAATGGAAGACATTAACAGCCCCACAGATATTTAAGGTGTTTAATATAAGCCCCACCCTTTATGCCTGGGTCTAATTTATCCATCTATAGATATGTTACCAATGAATACCAATGAATAAAGTTATAAAACATTTCATAATAAAAAACTTTTGCTACACGTGTTAAATTTACCGACCCCCATTCCCTGCAGTCATTCAGTGATTCCTCTTCTGTTACATTTCAAGCATCTGTCATGGACCTTAAGCTATCACATACTTCCTATTTATAGGTCTATTTCCCATCCCAACTCATATACAATCCTTAAGGACAGGACCACTTGTGTTAATTTTTGAATCCCCAGGGATTAGCTCATTAATACGTGGTACTAACTCCACCAACAAATATATAGTTATGTGATTACCTAAATCCCTGCTGCATAAAAATTGTATTTTTTTACAAAGGAAAAATAAAGTCACCAAAAAAAATGGAGTTTTTTTTATGAGCAGGATTGAAAAAATACTAAAAGAAAAAATCATGGACTGGAGGCCACGCCATCTGACCCGGTGGAATAGGTACTGTACCTCCACTCTGCGTCATTTCTTGCCTCTGCTAGAAAGTAGTCAAGGGGAAGATGTAGAAGACGAGCACAGAGCAGAACTGCTGAAACAGCTGGGAGACTACAGGGTAAGTACAAATGGCTCTTAAAATCCTTTTGTGTAAAAGGATCCCATGAAAAATAATACTTTATTAAATCATTGAAGCATTAAATAAAATGGGAACATCTGGCTAACTCACATTAGACTCAATTGTACATAAAGATGAAAACAAACACTCTAAATCAGGTGTTGTTAAAGGATATGGTTTTATACTGATTGCATTTCACTGCTAGGAAAAATTCTCATTAATAGACAATATGTCCCCTCTACTGCCTGTGGGTAGTGCTATATGTTCACATCCTATAGCTGGATAATAAAAGCTGGAAAGAAGTCTCATAACTAAGGCAGTAAACCTTGTTGGCTAAACAGTGTGATGGTCAAATTGGATTATTCACCGAGTAAAACTTATCCTTTAACTTACAAGGCCAGGTTCTCAGCCAGGATGTTTCAGTTCAAGTAATAGCAACTTAGCTAAAACAGGCTTGAGCAATAGAAGATTCATTGGCTTACTGAAGTAAAACTTAGAGGTGAGTAGCTACCAGGGCTGTCCCACTTTTCTGCAAGTCTTTCCACCGTGCCCTCCTCCTCCTCCACGTGACAGCAGCGTCCTCAGGCTGGCTTTTCTCGTGGTAACAAATGCTGGAACACTTCCAGGACTCACATCTGCACACATATTGCCCAAAGCAGGACACAGTATCCATGTGCCATTGTTCCTACCAAGTTTCCTGAGACTCACTTTGAGACTCCCTTCAATCATTGAGGCAAGAGGGGTGGAATGAACTGATTAGCTCAATCTAGGTCTCTGGAATTACATGGTTTACTAAGCATACTAGGGACTATCAGGAGGGGAGACAGAAGAATGGAGGTTGATGGGATGGCTAATGGGTATCTTATACACCAATATGCTAGCAATGAAAACAGAAAAGGTATTAGGCCCCTCTTCATTTTCCGTATTGCTACTATATGGCTGAATAGAAAAACACAACTAAACTCAAGATCCAAAAGACTTACTATATTAAGAATTGCATACATTTCCATAGAAAAAAATACATTGAAATCGTCAAACTTTACTAATGTCTACAAATGTTTTCCCCCCCTTTCAGTTCTCTGGATTTCCCCTTCACATGCCTTATTCTGAGCTGAAGCCTTTAATTGACGCTGTGTATAGCACTGGAGTACATAACATTGATGTTCCTAATGTTGAATTTGCTTTAGCTGTGTACATACATCCATATCCCAAAAACGTTTTGTCTGTTTGGATCTATGTGGCCTCCCTCATACGCAACAGGTAATTTTTTCATTGTATTTTTTTATATCATGTAAAAACTACACTTAGGATATAAGAATTTTAAAACTTATATTGATCACACCAGAACAATGTATTATTTTCAAATAATGAAATAAAATTATCAGTATGTATTTTCAAACTGTGCAAAATAAGTGTTTTATTAAGCAGTCAGCCCTATCTCTGCCATTTCGACTCTAAATTCAACTGAGACTACCTACAGTAGGGTACACTATAAGCTTCATCCCTCTATGCATTTGTACTTATTTACCTTCTACTTGGGACGTCCTTCTCCTTCTTTGCCTGTCCAGCAGAATATAATCATACTTTTAGGACCCAATAAAACACTTCACAACTTTTCTAGCGGAAGGAGGTACAACTTTCCAATAACAATTCTTAACATTGAATACCTCATAAGCATTATCCTACAGAAGTACTAAGCAAGCACACATGTACACACATGTGCACATACATACCCCACTGAAGCAATACAGTATTTTGGGGGGAAAAGGAGTATGCTTGAATAGTCATCAAAAGGGAAGTAGTTACCCCGAAAAAGAAGCCCTAAGACACTGCTATAGACTGAATGTTTGTGCCCTCACCACCCAAATTCATGTTAACCCCTAACCCCCAATGTGATAGTTATGTGGAGATGGGGCCTTTGGGAAGCAATTAGGTCAAGAGGGTAGAGTCCTCATAAAAGAAATGGGAGCGAGCTTGCTCACCCTCTTTCCCCACCAACTGCCCCCTGCGCATGAAGATACAAGACAGCCTCTACAAGCCAGAAAGATCACCCTTGCCTGACACTGGATCTGCTGGCTTCCAGAAGATACTGGACTTGATCTTGACTTCCCAGACTCTGTAACTGTGAGAAATAAACGTTTGTTGTTTAAACCACTCAGTCTATGGTATTCTATTATTAGCAGCCCAAACTAAGACAAACACATTCATTTAATATTATACTAAACCATTAAAAAGGACTAAATGTATATGCTAAACTGGAAAGATGTACACAAAATAGAAATATATAAGGCAGGATTTCTCAACAGCAACACTATTGACATTTTGGGCCAAGTAATTATTTGTTGTAGAGGGTTGTTCTGTGCATTGCAGAATATTTGGCAGCATCCCTGGCTTCCATTCACTAGATGACAGTTGCATCCTTCCCTTCTGCCAAGTTGTGACAATCAAAAATGTCTCTTCATACCGCTTAATGTCCTCTGTGAGACACATGGCCTTCATTTGAGAACCACTAATATAACTCCCACTTTAAGAAAAAATTATAAAGACAGAAGGGACTGAGTTAAGGAACAACTTTCACATTTGCTTTACTTTCTTATGCATTCCTCTATCAAATTATATTGTGTGTTTACATGCTTCTGATGCCTCTACTATGAATTCTTCAAAGAGAGTCCCATGACTGAACCATAACAGCTACCGATATAGCAATACAGAGACAGGATAGCACACTGGTTAAGAACACGAATTCTGGAGAAATTCTAGTTTGCCATTCAGTAGCTGGGTGATCCATGGACAAGTTACTTAACCTCTGTTACTTACCTTCCCCATGTATAAGATCAGGATGATCACATTACCTACTTCATAACATTGTTGTAAAGATGAAACAGGTTTTGTACTCACCATCAAATTGGTATTAACTAATCAACACATAAATGCACATATCAGAACAACATCTATTGGATGCTGGGGAAGGGGGAGGGTGGTGGGTGGAGGGGGGAAGAGGGAGGAGGGGAGGGGTATGTGCATACACAAGGAGGGCAATGCGCACTATCCGAAGGATGGACATATTTAAAACACGGACTTCGGTGGGGGGGGAACCAAGGGCAACACACGTAACCTAAACGTATGTACACCCATAATTTGCTGAAATAAAAAAAAAAAAAAAAAAAAGATGAAACAGGTTAGTATATCTAAAGCACTTAGAACACTGCCCAGTACTGAGCACCTAATGTTTGACAGACACAAGGCAGTTTACATAACTGTGGCATTTTATTCTCAGAAGAAAATCAATCACAAAATCCAAGATAAATGTAAACCAAGTAGTGTTCATTAAACAAACTATTCTGGCGGGGTGCGGTAGCTCACGCCTGTAATCCTAGCACTCTAAGAGGCCAAGGCAGGAGGATCACTTGAGGTCAGGAGTTCGAAAACAGCCTCAGAAACAGCAAGACCCCGTCTCCACTAAATATAGAAAGAAATTAGCTGGACAACTAAAAATAGAAAAAAATAGCCGGGCATGGTGGCGCATGCCTGTAGTCCCAGCTACTTGGGAGGCTGAGGCAGGAGGATCACTTGAACCCAGGAGTTTGAGGTTGCTGTGAGCTAGGCTGACGCCACAGCACTCTAGCCCAGGCAACAGAGCAAGACTCTGTCTCAAAAAAAACCCAAAAACACAAACTATTCCCTTAAGTTAATAATGGAAAAACAGGCTGGGCATGGTGGCTCATGCCTGTAATCCTAACACTCTAGGAAGCTGAGGCGGGCGGATCGTTTGAGCTTGGGAGTTTGAGACCAGCCTGAGCAAGAGTGAGACCCTGTCTCTACTAAAAAAATAGAAAGAAATTAGCTGGACAACTAAATATATATATATAAAAAAAAATTAGCTGGGCATGGAGGTGCATGCCTGTAGTCCCAGCTACTCGGAAGGCTAAGGCAGGAGGATTGCTTGAGCCCAGGAGTTTGAGGTTGCTGTGAGCTAGGCTGACGCCACGGCACTCTAGCCCAGGCAACAGAGACCCTGTCTAAAAAAAAAAAAAGGAAAAAAAGCGATAACAAATAAAAATTAAACGCAGATTATGCTGTCATGCCCCCATGCGAATGGGGACTGGGAGAGCATAGAAAAACAGTGAGTTTCGATATGGCAATGTGCTGACATACTGAAGTCAATGTGTTTCAAGATTGGAAGTCCTATTTAATGGTTTGCTAACATTAAGAAGCATAAGACAAAGCAAAAAAGAGGCACCCCAATTACCTGGAGCCCCTGGGGAAAATCAGCTGCCTAAAATTAATTAATTTATAAAGAGAATAAGATTTAAGCCAAGTCCTGAATCATTTAATCATGATTTTTTCCATCAGGATTACTTTAAAAATTCCCCAAAATATTACATTGTTTTCTGATTAAATGTGGGATAAACTTTAATCCTTGGTTGATGATTCAGAGCCATCACTGAGGAGGACGAATTTTACTATACAGTTCATGTAAATACAGATAAAATGAAGCATGGGGTAGGGTGGGACTCACCCGAGAAGACTTCCTGTAGTAGTTTTCTCTAAATAGTCCTTGATGTCAACTTTTCAAATAAGCTTTATTAAACACTTAAGGAAATAAAAATACAGCACAACCTTATAAAACTTCTCACCCTGTAACTGCCGACTAAGCTCAGATTTCAAGTTCTCTAGGGGAATCAAGAAATTGTTACTTTGTGCTTAGATCAGACTTTAAAAAATAGAAGGAAACGAGGTGTAATGGAGCCACAAAAGACATGACTACTTAACTTTAACAGAACAAACTCAAAAGGTAAGATGGTCTGCCCTACCATACATAAAAGAAACTTGTGGAGTTCCATCTTTATTTTGCAAATGTTAACAGCAATGCAATCAAAGTGAAAGAATCCCAGAGCAAGGTAAAACTTCAAATAGATCATTAGAAAGCCTCCCTTTAGAGTTCATCTTCCCTTGCAGTGTTTAATTCAAATGTTAGTTGAAATAAAAAGCAGTAGTGAGTTCTCCTTATATAAATTCCATCAAGTGATTCTTCCTTCCTCATTAGACAACATTGTTGAAAAAATAGTTTTTTTTCAAGCCTGATTTGAAACACATCTACTGGTAGTTTTTCTCCCTCCTCCTCCTCTTCTCTCCAAATAAAACAAACAAAAATACAGCTGGGGCCACACAGAACCAAACTGCAAGATTACTTCCTCTTCCACAGCTTTGCATGTACAGGCATACCTCACAGTTGTTGTGCACTTGGTTCCAGACCATCGCAATAAAGTGAATATTACAACAAAGCAAGCCACACAAATATTTTGGTTTTCTAGTACATATAAAAGTTATGTTTATACCTAAACATTGTAGTCTAAGTGTGCAATAAAATTATGTCTAAAAAAATGTGTATTCTTAATTTAAAAATATTGCTAAAAAAGCTAACAATCTTTTGAGGCTTCAGCAAGTCATAATCTTTTTCCTGGTAGAGGGTCTTGCCTCACTGTTGATGGCTGCTGACTGATCAGGGTGGTGGCTGCTGAAGGTTGGGGTGGCCGTGGCAATTTCTTAAAATAAGTTTGTAGACTTCCTTTCATGAAAGATTTCTCTGCAGCATGCAATGCTGTTTGATAGCATCTTACTCACAGAACTTATTTCAAAATTACCATCAGGCCAGGCACAGTGGCTCACACCTGTAATCCCAGCATTTTGGAAGGTCGAGGCAGTAGGATCTCCTCAGACCAGGAGTTCGAGACCAGCTTAAGCAACACAGTAATACCTCACCTGGCACACACCTGTAACCCTAGCTACTTGGGAGGCTGAGGCAGGAGGATCGCTTGAGCCTGGGAGTTTGAGGTGGCAGTGAGCTATGATGACACCACTGCACTGCACTCTAGCTCAGGCAACAGAATGAGACCTTGTCTCAAAACAAAAAAAAAAAGTTAGAATCATCCTTTAACTCTGCCACTGCTTTATTAACTAAGTTTATGTAATATTAATATTCTAAATGCTTTGTTGGCATTTCAACAATGTTCACAGCATCTTCACCAGGAGTAGATTCCAACAAACTACTTTCTTTGCTCATCCATAAAAACAAACTCTCCATCCATTCAAGTTTTGTCATGGGATTGGAGCAATTCAGTCATATCTTCAGTCTCCATTCCTAATTCTAGTTCTCTTGCTGCACTTACTTCCTCCATTGAAGTCTTGAAACCCTCAAAGTCATCCATGATGGCTGGAATCAACTTCTTTCAAACTCCTGTTAATATTTCTTGACATCCTCCCATGAATCACGAATGTTCTTAATGGCATCTAGAATGATGAATCCTTCTAGATAAATCCTTTCCAGGTTTTTAATTTACTTTGCATAGGAATCACTATCTATGGCAGCTATAACCTTACAAAATGTATTTCTTAAGATGTGAAAGTCGGAATTACTCCTTGATCTACTGGGCTGCAGAATGGATGCTGTGTTAGCGGGCATGAAAACATTAATCTCCTTGTATATCTTCATCAGAGCTCTTGGGTGACTAGGTGTATTGTTAATAAGCAGTAATATTTTGAAAGGCATCTTTTTTTCTGAGCAGCAGATCTCAAGAGTGGGCCTAAAGGATCCAGCAAATCATGCTGTAACAGATGTACTGTCAACAGGCTTTGTTGGTCCCTTTATAAAGCACAGAGTAGATTTAGCATAATTCTTAAGGGCCCAAGGTTTTTCCAATAGGAAGGCCCCGCCTTCAAGTGAAAGTCACCGGCTGCATCTGACCCTAACAAGAGCCTGTCCTTTGAAGTCAGACATAGACTTCTCTCTAGCCATGAAAAGTCCTAGATGGTCTCTCTTCTTTCAACATAAGGATGTTTGATCTACACCAAAAAATCTATCATTTAGTGTAGCCACCTTCATCAATGAACTTAGCTAGATCACCTGAATAACGTGCTGCAGCTTCTCCACCAGCACTTGCTGCTTCACCTTGCATTTTGTGTTATGGAGATGGCTTCTTTCTTTAAATCTCATGAACCAACCTCTACTAGCTTCAAATTTTTCTTTGTAGCTTCCTTACCTCTTTCAGCCTTCACAGAATTGAAGAGTTAGGGTCGTACTCTGGATAATATTTTGTTTTAAGGGAATGTTGTGGCTGGTTTGCTCTAGCCAGACCACTAAAACCTTCTCCATGTCAGTAATAAAGCTATTACACTTTCTTACCATTCGTGTATTCACTGGAGTAACACTTTTAATTTCCTTCAAGAACTCTTCCTTTGCATTTACAACTTGATTGTGTGGCCCAAGAGGCGTAGCTTTGGGCCTCTCTCGGTTTTCGACATGTCTTGCTCATTAAGCTTAATCATTTCTAGCTTTTGATTTAAAGTGAGAGACATGTGACTCTTCCTTTCACTTAAACACAAGCCATTGTAGAGTTATTAATTGGCCTAATTTCAATATTGTTATGTCTCAGGAAATAAAGAGGTCCAAGGAGAGGAAGCCAGGGGAACGGCTGGCCATGGAGCAGTGAGAACACACATAACACTTATCAATAAAGTTCTCCGTCTCATCTGGGTGCAGTTTATGGCATCCTACAACAATTACAATAGTAACATCAAAGATCACTGATCACCATAAAAGATGTAATAATAATGGAAAAGTATGAAATACTGTGAGAATTATCAAAATAGGACAGGCACAAATTGAGCACATACTACTGGAAAGATGGTGTCAATAGACCTGCTCAATACAGGGTTGCCACAAATCTTCAAATTTGTAAAAAATGTAGTTTCTGCAAAGTGAAATAAAGTGAAGTACAATAAAACAAGATAGGTCTATATTTTATAAAAACAGATGTCACGTCACCATTTTCTTCTTCAGAACATAAAATTACACATAGCAAGACAAAAAATTGATCCAGTATGTGCCCTTCTGAATGGCAGGTCTCCACTCCCATGATCTTTTTACAAAGTAATGAAGATAAACTTAAAAATTCAAATTTTTACTACCGCACAACTAATTTCAAAAAGAAAATTCAGCTCAACGAAATTCAGTATCTGTCTAAAACTGTTTATTCATGGGGGTCATGATTTCATGGGTGCTCAAAAGAAAAAATATTTAATTCTATTTTACACTAAAGTAAACCTGGAGATTTATAATAAAATCACAACACAACAGATATTACTTGGTAAAGTCCTCAAAGTAGATTTTATTTATACATTTCTTCAAATAATTGTGGAATTTTTAAAAATCCCTCCGAAATTTGACAATTTAGGGACAGTGGTGAGAACACAGGGTCTTTGAAGAAAGCAAATACAAATAGATTGGTGCTTTGCTAGCTCACTGAGCTAACACCAATAAGCCAATTTACTCTATAATCTTAAAGAATCTTTTATGTGGGTATGTTTGAATTGGCCCTCTGAGAATGGATCAAATAAAAGAAACATTATGGAAAAGAGATTAGTTTTCAAAATGCGCAGTCTTTGAAAATAAACCTTCAGAATTATATATCTGAAAAGAACTGCAAAGCTTAATACAGTGTTTATATATATAAAGAGAACCAATAACCCCCAATGACTTTAAAACTCAAAATAATCTATAAAATACTTTAAATGATATGGCATTAGCAACATTCTTTTCAAAGCATTTCATTTAAAAGAAATCTGATAAGACTGTTCTCACCCTTATGAAAACACCTAATCCCTTTCTAAAACAAAAATATAATTTGCAAGAGAAACAACATTGTACAATTCACTGGTAAATTAAGATTTCTGAGGTTGTAAGAAATGGGGCCAAAACAAGTCACACTCAAAAAGGGATGGTTAACACAAGAAATGTGCTATAAGTAAAGTGCATGAAAGGAAGCCTGCTCAGCTAAATGAAGTAGACAAAGGTCAGAAGTCAAGGGTCATTCGCCAGAGCGGCAGCAGGCTCGAAAACCACACTGCAAATTCTGGCATCCACTGGCGGTATCAGCATGAGGACCTGTATAAAAACAGAAAAATGTGAAAGGAGGAATTTCTTAGAGATCACATAAAAATAATTTTGCTTATGAAGGAGCTAAAAAATGTATCTGTTTCACTAGAAGTATATTTACATAATAGAACTAAAATTTCACAATGAGTGTATAAAAAATATTCAGACACAAAAATCACCAATAGCAGCTTGAATTTAACTAATATATTCTTCATGGTCTAAAAGGTAAATGAAAGAAGGAAAAAAATAATTTTTTGGCAACCATTTTACAATATAGAAACCCAAAAAGGAAAAAGACAATCCACAAAGCTAGACCTCCAAGCTAACTTAACAAATTCTTATAACATGAACATCCTTCCTAGAAATATAATTAAGGAAAAAACAGCCCTATCTGTAATAGATCAGCTAAAGAATCCAGTACTGAGCAATTGCAATAAATATTATATCCAAAATTTAAAGCAAAATAAACTACATTGATATAGACTTAATATGTTTTCCATATTTTTAACATTTGAAGCCCAAAAAAACATATGATACGGATAGATGAAATTATTTTCCAAAATTATTAAGTATATGAGTGATTAAACTTTAAGATGTAATAAAAACTACTATTCACTTACAAAGAAGAGTAATAAAACATTTATAGAATAACTAACATTTTAACCCACATTATGCTACCCAAACACTAGATAAAAGATCCAATAGGCAACATGGCTGAGAACTGGAAAATAACAACAAAAAAAAGATTTCATAGCACCTATTCAAATGTTAAGTACTTTCTTCATAAAGACAGGCAAAGGTGGAAAAGACTGTTTCGACTCTATTGAAGTCTTTCAATATGTCCATACCATGAACAAATAAAGAACAGTTAATTAGTTTTTTGCATATCAAATAGAATAATCAAAATACTTGCAATTGTGATATAAAGGACAATACAAAATAAAGTACATGAAATACAATTTTACAGAATATATCAAATGAATTATAACTGAAAAATCATAGTACTCTGTGGTGGTATCTAGTTTAACTCTGAAACATATTTTAAATTTACTTTGTTTTCTGAAGTAGCACTCCATTGCAAAAGAAGGCAACTATGCTAATACCACCGTAAGAAAATAATTACTTGCAACTGAACACACAGAACACATTTACTTCTAGAAATTCCTTGTATTCCCAAGACAGCACATACAAAATAGAAAGGGTAAATTACTTAGGATATAGAGTCATTAAATTGTAATGTTCGTATATTTCACTATGGAAATGACAACATATCTTTAAGAAAAGAAACTATGAACTTTACATATATGTGGAACTGCAACAGATTATTTCATTTATTTTCAAATAGTTATATTTAATCCTAAAATCGATATGATGCCTGTCATTAGCTTTAAGTTAAGGGGGGAGCAGGGGAATGGGCAATGGTATAGATGAAAAAAGACTGGCCACAGATTTATAACTGCTGAAACTGACGGTACATAAGAACTCATTACATTATTCTGTTTATATGTTTAAAATTTTACATAATAGAAAGTTTAAAATTTTAAATATAAAATTGAATTACAAGCCCATTTTTATTTAATTCAAATAAAAATCTGTCCATTTTTTAAATGAAAGTTCAATGTGTCAAATATTTAAAATTCACAAAGCAACATTTTTGTTAAGATGATATTCCCTTAAAATAAGATACAATGTTAGTCATCTTAACCACAAAGTCAAGATAAAGCATTTTTGCATATATTATTATTTATTAGAAATGCTCTGATAAGGACTCCCATGGTTTGAAATTCTTCTCCCACTATCAACCTTTGACCAAGTTTTCCCTTTGACTATTTCCAGCTTTACCTACTGTGCACTACTCAATCTTCTCACCTTTCCCCTCTGAGCTTGTCTTTCCTCACCCCTCACACTGCTTACTGTTCTGCCTACCAATCATCTAGTGCCTCTCCCCAACACTCAAGCCCTGACTCACTATCATCTCCCTGCCCTGACCCTTAGTCCTTGATGAAATGCCTGAATTGCTGAGGTTTGCCAAAATATATCTGATTATCATTTTATCAGAATGTAATTCTATTCTAAGTTTTCTAAAAGAAAGAAACCTGGAGGAAAGAGACCTGGAGACTTTCACACAATTTTCCAAACTAAATCTCCCTAAAATGCCTATACAGTAAGTCCTCACTTAATGTTGTTGATAGGTTTTTAGAAAATGTGACTTTAAGCAAAATGACGTATAACAACAACAACTGCTTCTGTTCTCATTGTTATAATGAAATGATGTTGAACAAAATGCTATTTGAGTACCTGTTGTACATCATTTGGTTTCCAAGAACGTATCAACGACATGAGGTGAGATCTTACTGTATTCCTATTAATATCTGTAAAAAGGACAGAGAGGTAAGGAAGAAATGTTATCATGCATTTAACAGTGGCCTAGGAAAAATCTTATGTGATGGCTGGAAACAATGGAAGTGAAGTATGCAACTGGTTTTTGAGGGAAAAATGTAAAAGAGAGCCTCAAAGGAACAACTAGATCAAGAAAACTATTCTCCTAGAGATTCAGAACTAACCACACACCACAGAGCTTTTCAGCATCCTCCCCAAAAGACTTAGGGGTCTAGCATCCTCAGTCTCCACCTTGGCCATCTGCGTCACTGCTCTCAAACCCTAGAGGATGGCGGTAGAGATAACAGGGGAAGAAAAATATAGGAATAAAATTCTGTACCCTTTATTAGGTAGAAAGCTAACATAAACATGCTGTCACATCTCCTTATTCATCACAAAACAAAGTTCTTGCTCATATTGATATAAAATGTGCCCCTTCATTCAAATATGTTCTTTGAATGTCTGAATTTCAGTGAGATTCTAAAGTGTATAAAGAGAGAATTAATATATTGCTGTTTTTAAATTCGAAAGGATCTGTTTAAAGACGCCTATAGTACTTAATACCTGTAATATTAAATTACTCAAAACTACAATCCTATCATAAGGTCAAAAACAGAGCAGTTATTGGTGTCTGATCCTAGTAATAATGAAAATGACAGCATCTATCAAAGGACTTTATGCTGCTGAAGGCCCAGGGCAAAATTAAAATGAAGACAACCACAGTTTTAAATTCAGTATCACAATGCAGAAAACAAGGGAGAACAGCACTTTCTAAAGCATGGAAAATGTTAGCAACATCAACAGTAAGACCGTTAAGTATCACAGAAGGGACTGTTCAGAAAAGAGAATAATAGACAACAGAATAAATGGACAACAGAAAAGGTGAGGGATCATTAGAAAGAAATAAGACTAAGATATGCTGGGTTGCTTAGTATCTCAAGTAGACAGCTGTGCTTCAATAGATACCAACAATTCAAAAGGTTGTTCCCTTTAAATATTTCACTTATCACCAGCAAACTTCTCTTGATGTAGGATACAGAACCCAAAACAGTTATGAGGACTAAATTACATTAAAGAATAATAAAGAAAACAGGAAGATAAAATTACATAATCATTAAATAAAACATTTTAATGCATGATTAGAATAAATTTTGTAACAAAGCATTTTTAAATATTAGATGAAAAGAACTATAAAGTTAGCTATTATTTTTCCAAATTTTTATTAATGACTTGTTTTCCTTGGTTTTATTACTTATGCTATATATCTGCACTTACCTTCACTTACCTTTGATTCCTCTTTAACTTAAATTAGAAACATAAGAAAGCAAATCATCTGAGACTGTGTCACCTCCAAAACTATGAGCTAATCTATCTTAATTCATAAATTATACATGCATTGAAATGTAAATTGGTACAAAAAAGTTTATTTTCTATCATTGTTCAAATGCTCTTCACAGTTCTACAACTATGCCATTCCATTTAACACTTCTTAAATGATAATTTTTTAAATGTTATGGCGAAGAAGCCATCTTTTATATTCAAATCTTTATCAGTCATGAAGAATCATTCAGAAGAATACAAATTTATATTTTATAGCAGTGCTCAGTACAATGTCTTGCTCAAGGGAGTTACTGTTTGAATATAGGATTACTAATTTATTTTCTCCAAAATCTCTGCTAGTGCTTAAGAAATAGATCATTCTGCTTTACTTACAACTTATTATTTACTTAATGACTAATGTTTATCAGTATTTACTTCTTTTAGTTAGTAACTTGGTAGTTATGTAGACTTTCTTTTAACAAAATACATTTTTAATGAAATCTTACTCTCAAATATTTAAAATATTGTCACCTAAGTATGTTTCTTCCTTGCTCTGACACCATGTATTAAAACATATTGACTACTTTCAGAAATAATAAAAGTAATTTTTAAAAGGGAGGCCCCTAAACATTCACTAATACTATATAAGCTGAGTTGTTTTGAAAGATACTCGCTCAATAGTGTCATCTTGCAAAACTGGATACAATACAACTTCATTCTAACACTTTCTAGGTTGTCCATACATCCTTTAAGGAAAAGATTATAACAGAGCATTGCTTTAGGAACAACTATTTGGAACTCTAGAACACAAATTACATGACAAGTCACTCTGTAAACTTTAAAGGATTTCCATTTCCCCCAAATCATGCTTTAATAAGCTATAAAAAAGGAGACTTAATATTGGATTATACAAACACTGAAATTTCCTTTCGAATCTTCTGAAGTCAGGTATCATCATTAAAATTCATTTATTGAAAATTACCGATCATTTATCCAAAACTTACATTCAACAAAAGGAACACTGTAACATTTATATATCCAAAAACAGTTAATTAAGATGAAAAGAATACTGACAAAGTGCAAAAGAGTTTAAGTATTTAACTTTATCCTACCTAAAGTATTTCAAAAAGTTTAAAAATGCACAAACACAAAACAAGTAGGCATAAAAATGAACTGACCCAATCCTCCCATCCCCCCACTAACATCTATATACCCAAAAATAAATATAACAAATTAAGTTGTTATTCCTAAGTATAACCTATGCTGAAATCAATATTGAAAATTCAGGAGCAACATACAAATAAAATTTTCTTATAAGAAATAATTACTTATTGATTACTTTTGATAATATGTCCCATAAGCCTTAGGAAGTTCACCACTGAATCTACAATGACACAACTGTATGTTAAAAACAAAAAGCTCCCTTCTCAAACCCACTATATTCACAAAAGTAACTGCTTCATTGTATCAATCATACTTTCTTTTTATAGGCTTCGCAGGTTGCAACTAAAATGACAATCATTTTCACCATTCCTTCATTATACACTGAAGGCCAACAGAGAACAAAGAAATCCCTCAACTTAGTGCTAATATTTCAAGAACACAGCAAGTCATCTCTTGGATAACAATGTGATTCCAGATATAAGAGAGCTGTGATCTCCTGTTTCCTCATATATATTTTAAGGAAAATCTAATCTCTGAGAAACAGCAGATTTGCTAACTTCTCTACTGCCTGGTATGCCATTACTCCCTCTCATCTTTCTGGCTCCTGTCAATTGTTCTGCCTGAGAAAAATTAAGCTGATCTTCATGTCATCTTAAGATGAATTGGGCACTCAAAGACAATAGTATATGGTATAAAAAGACAGGTGCATAGTAGAATCTGAGCCATCTAAATTTTTTTCCAGTTATAAATTCATGAAGTTGATTTGCTTACTAATAACTGAGGAACAGTTTTTTATGCTTCTGGGAAATTCAGTCTCTACCAGTGACTATAAAATACCCAAAAGGACATTGAATGTACTTTGAAAACACATATTCAATCCACTATAGGGTAGAATATGCTTAAAAAACAAAACAAATCAACACACCAAAAAATCAAGGAATATTTACCTTATTTTTTAAAGTAGGTTTAAGAATCAATTTCCAAAATACTATAGGAATTTTAGTCATTTCTAAATCATTTCCGCCTCTTCTCAATACCATATACTATTCTCTCCTCAATCTTCAGTGACATTTATTTCGCACCAAATCCAGACCCTCTGAAAAGTCTGTGTTACCAAGGTCCTCATTTTTTCTACTGCATTTGATAAAGTTGTCTTATAAAGAAAATGAGTCTATCATCCCTAAGAAATCAGTCTATCTAGGACATCAACACCTCTAAATTGTTAATGAGTGCTATAACACTCTAGAGGAATTCCCAAAGCTTTTATAAGAATTTTAGTATTTCCATTAACAACTTACCACTTTTAATTAAATTATTACATGCCTTGAAAATATGGCAGAATATGTGAAATACCTACCTAAAGAAAAACTTACCTTTCAAGAAGCTAATTAATGAAAACATAATTTTTTAAATTTTAGTAAATTTAAAGAACTAAATCTGAAAGGAAGTTTGGTAATTAGAAATCTAGAAAACTAAAGAGAAACCATAAACCTGTTATTAGAATTGCTAAAATTTTTACATTAATTCCTTCAAAATTATCTCATTGTTAAAAGGCATTACCGTTAATGTTGTCACAGTAGTAAAAGTATTCATCATTTAGAGAAGGACAGGCTGAAACCAAATCCTGCAGGCCTGCACCAGTTACAGTAAGACAACCAGAGAGATTAAGGTGCTCCAAATAAGGCAGCCCTCCTCCCAGAGTCAAAACCCTGTAAGAAAAATAATTTGACAATTAGAATATATTAATCTATGAAAACATATGTATTCCTATGGTCCACTGAAGCACTATTTTACAATACCTTTCAGTTTGGTAATGAGAAAATTTAAGAATTTCTGTAAAACATTTATAACTAATCTCATCCTTAGGCAGGAATATATTTAACTCAGAAAAACTTTCTACATTTTTCCTAAAGACATTCAATAAACAATGTCTATGAAACTTTTCTTTATAAGAACATTACAGTAACTCAAGTTGTAGAGGAACTACTGAACCCTGGAGTTGTAATGTTCATTCTCCTACCAGATTGACTAAGTAAGTAAATATTATCAAGAAAATTATTGAAGTTTTAAACCTAACGACCAGTTTGGCAGTTCCACAAAAAATTATAGAGCTAGCGTAAGACCCAGAAATTCCTGTCCTGGGTATATACCCAAGAGAATTAAAAACATATGTGCAGTGGTTCACTTCTGTAATCCCAGCACCTTGGGAGGCCAACGTGGGAGGAGTACCTGAGGCCACGCGTTTGAGACCAGCCTGGGAAGCATAGCAAGACCCCATCTCTACAAAAAATTTTAAAAATTAGCCAGGCATGGTGGAGTGTGCCTTTAGTCCCAGTTACTTGGGAGGCTGAGGTAGAGGATCACTGGAACCCAGGAGTTTGAGGCTGCAATGAGCTATGATCCCACCAGTGTACTCCAGGCCTGGGCAATAGAACAAGACCTTGTCCCTCCCCTGCAAAAAACATATATTTATGCAAAAACTTGTACATGAATGTTCACAGTAGCATTATTCATAAAAGCCAGAAAGTGGAAATAGTCCAAATGTACATTAATTGATGAATAAAATGTGGTATATCCATGCAATAGTATAGCCACAAAGTACTGACACATACTATTAACATAACATGCATGAACCTTAAAAACATTATACTAAGTGAAAAAAGATGGATTCAAAAGGCCATATACTGCATGATTCCATTAATACTATTATTCCAGAATAGGTAAATCCACAGAAACAAAAAGTAGATTAGTGGTTGCCAGAGGAAGTGGTGGTGGGGCGGGGGCAGAATGAAAAGTGACTGCTAATAAGTATGGGGTTTTCTTTTTAAGATGACGAAACTATTTCTGAATTAGACAGTGGTGATGGTTGAACAACCTTGTAAATACACTAAAAATCACTGAATTTACTGTATACTTAAAAAGGGGGTAAATTTTATGTTATGTGGATTACACTTCAATAAAAAAAACCTGATGGGGCCGGGCACGGTGGCTCACGCCTGTAATCCTAGCTCTCTGGGAGACCGAGGCGGGCGGATTGTTTGAGCTCAGGAGTTCGAAACCAGCCTGAGCAAGAGCGAGACCCCATCTCTACTAA